GCTTTTCTTTGTAAAAACTTCAATTGAATTTCAATAAAGTTAAAGGCATGGCCTCACTACTAATATTTAAAAAAAAAAATAAAAAACTTGAACCAAAGAGGTTATCTTAATACTAAAAAAAAATAAAAATAAAAAAATAAAACTATTATTTCTCTTTTATAAAGAATTTGCTATGATTTACTTATCTTATATATTTACAACAACTTCAAAGATTATACTATATAAAAAAAAAGAAACTCTTTCTGCAAATTCATTATATAAAAATTTACTAAAAAAAATTATTCATCTAAAAACACTTATAAATATTTATTTTACTATGACAACCTGTTCTGGCGTCTTAAGTAAACTTGTTCAACATCGTATTTTACATATATTCTAAAAATTTTATATTTTTAGAGTTTAAACTCATTGAGAAAACTGTACTGACAGCCTTTGGCCTCCAGTTTCAATAATTTTATATTTTCGCAGTTTTTGCTGCCATAACCTGCCTTATACTCTTAAATAAAGTTGTAGTGTACATTGGCTGGTTAAAACAAGCTCTAAATGAAAAGGTTTGACCTAATATTGGCCAAAGTATAGCTAAATTTATCTTTTATTCTCTTAAAAAATTTTTTTCCTATTTTTTGTCCTTATTCTATTCCCTTTTTCTCTTATACAGATTTTGTGTAACCATTTGATCATTTCCCAATATATAATTTATTAATTTACACAAAAACTTTGTAACCTATCTATTAATAGAATCTTATTGAATACAATTCTCTATTTCTATATTTAGTTCTTACTAATATTATACAATAATCTGTATTTCAAACTCTATTTGTGTTTAGTACCTGAGTTATATTGTGACCCTAGTCACATTAGCTATACCTGTATACTATTCCAGTGATACCCCAATACTACAACCCTTGTCTTTAATTATTACCCCTATAACGTTATCTATAATCATATTATTAACTTAGAAAAATTTCTAAATCTTTAATTAATCTTTATTCAAGTTATTATTATTCAACAATGTCTATCTTAAGTCAACAAGAACCTAACATAGCAGACCTTGATTATTTTTACTAAAACTTTTCCAATAGTTTTGGTATTGCTCTTTATGAAGAAGAAAATAATGGCAAGGCTCATCCAATTCCTCCTAAAGTTCAACCTATTATCTGTTTAACAAAAAACCTTAAATCTAATAAGATTACCCATTTCTTTTAAGCACCTATTTCTACTCTTATCATTACTTGTCTTTGTGACAAATATCATATCAAATTCATCTCAATCTCAAACATCAACTACACTCAAGCTACTGAATTTACAACCACTCATATTTATAGCAACTCAAAAAAAATCAACAGAACAACTCAATAACTTATGACTAATCTTTCTTCCTTTATTGACAGCATTTTTCTATCTCCTATACCAGATGTTCACTACTATACTTGTCCTAAATGCTCTCTTTCAATTGGTTGTATCATGAAAAATAAGTGTCATTATTTTACTGAAAAATATGTCTTCAAAAATAATGAAGTTTATTATCTTGCCTGTATGACTGCTTTATCTCAACATGAAGCTAGCTTATTCCAAACTAAGAAAAATCTTACTCAAACCTTCCAAAACATTTTATATGATTCTTCTCAAACTACCAATCCTCTTACTGTCTCTTCTCACCAAAACTTAACCTCTTTTGACCTTATTAATTCTTTCTTTTCTTCAACTATTAATATTAATCTTATCTCTAATTAACCTTTTACTATTAATACTCTCAATATTTTTAGCCCAAATCTCAACAATTCTAGTAATACCAACCAACTGAAAAATACTTCTAACAAACCTTCTCTCCAATCTTATTCAAGTATTCTCAAACTAAAATCTAATCTTACATACAACTGGGTTACAAATTTTCCAATTATTGAAGAAATGCAATCTAGCAAGAAATTGCAAACTCAATTCTCTCTTCAACTTTTTACATTCCTTAAAAAATTCCTCTATGATTTCTATTCTGGCAAAGAAATTAAACCAGCTATTACTACCCAACCTGCACTAAAAGCCTCATTTTATTACATTATCCATATTATAGCTAGGCAACAGCCTGAATTTTTAACTGATCTTATCTACAACAGCAATCCCAAGATTGACAAAAGTACTACTATTCCTTTCGAACTTCTCGAATTTACTCTTAAAAATCTTATTCTTAAATTTATAACTATTCTCTTTACTAAACTTAATTATCTTGAAATTTTTGCTTCACCAGTTACTATTTCTTCATATATAGCCTATAAATGTTTTTAACTTTGTCTCAATCTTGCTTGTCTTCATCTTTTCTTATCGAACAACTATTAGTCGATTAATTATCAAAAATTTGCTGAAGACCTTCAGCTTAAATCTAAAAGATTTAAAATTGAATCTTTTATATAAACCACTAACCTTAATATAGGTGCAAGAATATAATCGATGATATGACCTTTTTTACATTTTGATAACTGTAACTTGAGATATAAAGATACGTCAAAAGGTCCTTGACTTATATATGTTATAACAACTTGCATGTGTCATAACAATTGGCATGTATCATAATATCTAATATGTGCTATATTTAATACATTGTATTTCAATGTTTGATATGTAATATATAATTTTTATGATATAATGTAAATTTCTGAAAACCAAATTTAACAATTATTCACAGGGTCTTTTTTTTAAAAAAAAGCAATAATAATGTTATTATTCTATTATATTTGTATAGCATATTATTTTAAATATTGAAATTTATTATTAATAATTGTTTTTTTTTTTAAATATTAACGGTAAGGCTATGCCTTATTATTAATAATTGTTTAACATCTAAATACAGTAGAAGTAGCTATTTAATCGAAATCGACATTTAAAACAGAATCAACAAGATCCTCAGAATTAAAGTTCATATTGACATTTTTTTCAACACTAGTCTCTGAAGTATTAAAAGAAAATTCAAATGGTACAGTATCTCTTTCTTGAAAGATCAGGTCTTGAAGATTTACAACATTTTCTAAAATTAAATTAGTCTGGGATAATGAACTTAAATCCTCTTCATATGTATTATTATTTCTGTTTGCTTCTTCATCTACTATATAATTATCAAGACAATCATCAATATAATCATTAATTGTTGCAAGCTTTACCATTTTATGTAATTCAGATTCAGTCAACTCAGCATCAAAGTAGGTAAGTTCATTTTGTATATTTGTCATATTATATGACCTGATTTTGGCCATTTCTTCAAGCTTGTCAATTCTAAGACATATACATTTATCACCAACAAACCACTTAAAAGTAAAAAAATTTCTTTACAGTTTGTTTGTAATAGTGAAATACTAAAAAGTCTTAGCATAAGTTTAGAAAGATGATATGATCGACTTTTGATAGATCCCCACCACAATATTGGAGTGCCTAATCCTTGAACATATGGTAGGTCAAATGGCTTTTTTATAGTATCAAAATAGCAAAATTGTAAAATAAGCTCTTTACATTCTTGCTTAAAATGCCCTAATTCTTTTCAATATTGATGCTATTATTGCAGCATTATGAAATGCCTCATTTCGAAGACCTGATCCTAAATAAATAAATAAAGTATTATTAAAAATAATAATAATGTCAAATATTTAAAATTTAATTGAATAGAAATAAATATTAAAGTTTGTATCATGATAAAATGGATGGAGAAAATAATATAAAAGATATAATAGGTTTTGAAATTCTATATATCATTGATTAAATATTTGAATTGCAATAGGTTTAAATCAGTTGGATTTAGAAATTTGATATATAGCAACTGCTAACTTTATCATATGTATAAAACAGTTAGCTAAAGTTATTGAACCAGATTCTAGAATATTAATACAAGTTTTTATAGGGCTACATATTGATCAAATTTGGCAACACATAGAAAAAAATTCTTCACTATGTAATAAATTAAAAATTTTATATTTGTAATTATATTTGTAATTATATTTAAATGTTCAAGAAAAATCTATATAATGATAATATTAATATTTATATTAGTAGATTAATTTAATTGTTAATATATTAAAATAATAAAAAAAAACTACCCAATCGAATACAGGCTGTGCAAGTAATATCAAATTTGTGGTATTGTATAAAGTTTCCAATGTGTTTTACATCATGCTTCTAAGCCTTTAGACCTTACTTTCATAATTTTTAACCCTTGTCGTAATAAAGCCAGTCTTTGATGAAATTTGTTAAAATATGCTATAACTTTTCCACATTGATCAATAAATAACTTTATTTCATGAAGTTTTGTCAAATCTGTTACTATTAAATTAATAGCATGAGTAATACATCTAAGATTTAGTATGTGTAAATATTTTTTATGTACTTTTTCTTTAGCAGATCGAAGATTTGCTGCTAAGTTTGTGACAACAGCTACAAAGTTTTTAGACCAGATTTGCTTAATAATATTCAGAATTTCTGAAGTTATGAAATTGCTAATATGTGATTCTGCTGAATAGTTACATAATAAAACAAGATACTCTTTTCATTCTGTAGTTGTTACAATATAATTGTACAATGATTCTCTATGTTTTGAAGTTCACTCATCAAGTGCTAATGATTTTTATATGAAATGTTAATTGATGTAATACTTTTTGAAACTGCAATAAATAAATAAATAAAATTTAATAATGCATACTTAATGTTAAGTGTTCTGCATACTCCAATTTATTATCGATGCTATTTTGCACACATGCAACTTCTTCATCTAACAATCACCCAAATAATATACAAGATGGCAATACATATGCTGAATTAAGATTTTTGAAGAGATTTCTAATATAAAGATTCTTAATTACTTCAAATTGGATATTTACCATTACCTAAGTTTTTAAAATAAGTCTATCATAATTAATATTAACTTGTGGTAGTAAAGTTACTTGTAATTGAGAATCTCTTTTATGAGAATTATTTTCTTCTGCAAGTTTATTGACCCAATATTGTCGAAAATCTTCAGGTACATTCTGATAATAAAGTGCAAGATGGGACCTTAAAACATAAGGTCTACCTCTCTGCTAGAACATTTTATAATGAAAACATTCTGTCTTGTAATGTCCAGGATTTACTTTTTCACTCTTAATTACATAGTCCTACACTTCATTGAAGGCAGGGCCACTTTTTCTAATTTTTTTTGTAAAAGATCACAGTTGGTTTCTGATTCTAATTGTGTAGATTCTAGCAGTATAGAAATACTAGAATTTAGTTCGACTAAAGACATATTGCAAACTTTCTATTTGATCTGCAACTTTTATTAATGATTTATTTTTAATTCTTGTTTGATTAATTTATTTATTTTTTATTAAAAAGGATTTATTTTTAACTTTTGTATAATTTATTTATTTATTTATTTTTCATTATTTATAAACTTTTTATTTAGACTCAAAGTCAATATTATGTATATTATATCTTATATCACATCTAATTTCAGAGTTATATCTAAAACTTTAGTTACGACGAATGTCAGCTATTATGACATACATCTGCTACAGCACTTTTAATATAACTGTATAACTTTTTGATGTGGCTATATGTCACCAAGTTCCTGCACCTATAGACCTTAAACAAAAATACCTCACTATTTAGTCAGATGCTAGATTTAATATTAAACTCTTCTTTAATATTCTCAAAATACTCTTTCTTGAGAGATTTTGTATTTCTTTACTAAAAAATTCTCTTGATCACTTTAACTTCTGGTTTGATATCTACTACTTTTCTTATAGTAAACAATTTTCTTTTAATATTGACAAAGAAAAAGTTCATATCTCTCTTAGAATTCAATTCTGTCAACATTTTATCTTTCAACTTTCTAAACATCTTCCTAAAACTTACATATTTAAAAAACCCAATTCACTTCAAGAGTGATATGAAGAAGCATCTTGTGTTGCTAATTTTCATTGTCTAACTTGTAACAACAAAGAATGTCAATACCTTAATGACAAAAAATTTCATGACAGTACCAAGCTATTTAATGCCATTTTAACTAAATCTTGTATATTATTTCTTCCCCAAGATGATGAAACTTGGATTTATCCAACTCTCAATTCTACTTTATTCCATAAAAATAAAGAACATGCTGCTTCACTTGACCAACCCATTTTTACTAAAGCCTTAGACAAACTTGATGACCAAGCTGAGAACTTTGTTTATGAACAAAACAAAATAAAAACTAATTCTAAATGTTGCAACTATTACTTCTACTGCTAACTTTCTCTCTACTACCAAACAGCTGCTGAAAATTATAACATATAGTCTTTGTTCAAGAAGGAGGCTATTAACTTATTCATAAAGAACATTATCAATACTAAATTCCTTACTTAAATAATTATATACTTCAATGTCATCAAAAACCAAAAACCAACTTACTTACAAATAGTTAAATATTTTAATGATATGGCCTATCCAGCAGCTGAAAAATTTTTATTTAAGAAATTTAACCTTGACTTCCAACCTGTTTCCATCTTAGACTCACTATTTTTACAATCTCTTTTTTAAGTTCTTTGTCTTTTACAACCAACATTAAAACAGCCACCACCTTACTAAAAAATACATCTATTGTAGTTAATAAGGAAAATGAGATAAGAAGACAGATGGACAAGCCTATTTATGTGAAAAGCCAGGATAATGACAGTCAGACCCAATATACAGGACAGACTATGGTAACTTGCACAGTTGTGAGAGCCAAGCATACAGTGATCAATCCTGTAGAAGACAATTTTGAAAGATCATTTACAATATCTTTAATCTCTATGATTTTCATACATGTTTTAACAAATTTCTTCTTTATTACAATTTATCACTTCTTCCTCATAGTCAAACTATTCAAACTTTAATTCAACACATTGATAAATATAATAACAACAAAATAGTATCCTGTATCACATTTTTTATTAATTCATCTTATAACAAAACACACATATACCTTCCTAATGACACTCTTTTACCAAATCACATTGTCATTACTCCTTATCTTCTTCCTATATTCTACAATCTTTTTCTTAGATCTAACTCTTTTAATCCCACTTCTATCTCATTTGATTTATTTTTCGACAACCATTCTTCAATCTCTAATCATAATTCTTTTTCACTTTTATCAAATTCAGCATTACATCATCTCAACCTAACTATTGCTACACATAATATTAGAGGCTTTAATGATCCTACTAAGAGAGAAGCATGGCAGGATTATTGTCTTAATCATGACATATCCATTGCAAGCATTACAGAAACAAAAATCTCTGACAAATCTAATCTTTTTTTCTGCAATAACAACTTCTTTACTTACTACTGGTTTAATTCTCCTACCTCTATAGAAGGCACTGTTATTATGATTCGCAACTATCTTAAACCTTATGTCTATAGTATATATACTTATCCTAATAGTGCTATAGCACTTAATATTTTTTTTTGAAGCATATTAAGCTTTACATTATCTCAGTATATCTATTATCAATTGATACTTCTATCTGTAATCAAACTCAAAATAAAGTAATCAACTGAATTCAACAAGCCTTACAACTTCATATTCATTCTATTATTTTTGATGACTTCAATACACAGGATAATACTCACAGCTCCTTCTCTAAATATAAACTTATTAATTTTCTTAATAATTCTAATATATATGATATTGGAGCTTACTTTAATAACAAACACTT